TAATGAAGTGGTTAATACACCTCTGGCCCCTGCCCCTGTGGGAGGCGCTGTCATGCTGGAGAGCTGGACTATGAACACATCGGGAAACAACCAAGAATCAAATTCTTGAGAGTTGGGAGGTGAATTATGAAGTAGCAGGGTGTTTAAGAGAGACTAGCTAATGGGAGGAACCTGTTAGGAAAGGCCAACCACCTGCCTGAGAGCTGAACATCAGAGCCTCATGCAAAAGGGGGCAGCCCTCGTGAAAGTGCTCAGCACACACAGAACAGGTTAAGTCAGATGGGACAGGTTGGAATCCAGCCTCTGACAGTTGCTAACTTCATACTTCCTCACCTCTTTGAACCATAGTTTCTTCATTTGCAAAATTAGAATAATAATATTATGTTCCTCATAAGTTGATTGACATTAAGTAAGTTCACATGTGGAAAAAAAAATTACACCATTACAGGGCTCCTGATATGTGCTCTGCATATGTTGTCTGGATTAACCACCACATTGCACATGCACACACATTGAAAATACACTGTGCATAAAGGGGAGTCAGGGTTGGGGAGGGAAGTAAAAGATGAGGTGGGAAAGCAGGAAAGCCAGATCATGGGAGAGAGAATTTAATTCTTAGTGTAAAGAGAGTTCACTGAAGAGCTTTAGCGAAGGCCATGTGTGATGTTATTTATGTTTTATGAGGATGAGAGAATGGTCAGAGGGAGGTAGCAAACGTTGAATCAGGGAGGGCAGTTATGAGGCTATTTTAAGAATGTGGCAAGTGATGATGTAAGCTTGAATGCATACCTGCTCAGTGTGATATGACAGACACCAGATCAAACCATGTTCTTCATATCATCTTTATCTGGCAATGCACAAATCTTTACCACTGTAGTAATGCCTTTGGATTAATGATGGATGGAGGGTGGTGAAATACTGAGTGATTCTACATTTCCAAGTACAGTTTATGTAATTCTCACCACGACTTTGTAGGGTGAGCTTCTCTTAGCTCTGTTGCACAGATAGGAATACTGAAGCCGAAAGAAATCAAGAACGTTGCCACAAGTCCTCCTGCTAGTAAATAGCAAGACTATAATGGAAACCTGGGGCTGTTAGACTTCAACAATGTTTTTGTTGTTTCTGTTTGTCAATTGCTTCTGTTAGCTTTAGGTTTCACGGCAATATGGAGATGTATTTTCTTTGAGGTAACCTAGGTCATCAACACTTCACTAAGTCACTAGATTAGCTAGACATTTGAGGGAGTGAAATGTAGGTCATTAATGCCATGATGGATCAGGAGAGGGGTGTGTAGGGCCCTGGAGTGGAGAGAGGAAGAGCCTGGGCACTGTAGGCTGAGACATAAGGCATGAGGTGTGTCTTCAAAGCAATAACACATTCCACATTTATTCATGAAAGCATTTGTCCCACACTCATAGACAATACAGTGTTTCAGTTCTCTATTTCCATAGCACTGGGTGTGACCTCTAGTTTTAGCTCAAAAGTCATATTAGCTTGGCTGTCCATAAATAGTATGTGTCATGTCTACTCGTTCAACACCAAAGTTCCTAAGGACCCAGTTCCTAACCTGGAGTCTGGTGCAGTAACAGAAGGGAACAATAAGAAGAGAACATAAATTTATAATATATGCACCCTGAATACACAAAGAATTTCAACTAGAGTGTGAGAAGCTGAAATATGACAGAAAAGGAAAGTTGGGGCACACTTAGCATCCCCTGGGCAGTAATCCATTGAATCACAAAAAGTGGAATCGCACCATTTTGGGTGAGAAGGTGGAGTGTCAGCCACCAGGTTGTACTGGTTAGGAACTCAAGTCCCTCCAGTTATCTCAGTCACTACTAACACCCCTACCATCTATTATTGATTTAACACAAACAATGTGCCAGACATGATGGCATCATGGTATGTATTATCGCTTTATATGTGTTATCAGACTTAACTCTTACCACAGTCTTCTCTAAAGGTTGTTAATTACTCCATTTTACAGATGAGGAAATCAAGTCTCAGAGAAATAGAGTTGCCCAAAGTGAATCAGCTAACAAGCTATGACGACCATAGTTTAAAATCCATGACCTTATCTACACTATGACTCTCATTATTCCATGATTGATCACAGGTTTTTGTCTATAGCCTCCATCTGGTTGGGTAGGAGTTGAATTCAGGGGGCATGTGTAAGAGTAGTGATTGGGTGGTATGGGAGGGGACTAAGGGAAGTGGGAATTGGTGAAAACCTCTCTGCATCTGGAGTATTTCTTTTTAGGGTCTAAAGAGTCATCAGCAACCTTTTGGTTAGAATCACTTTGTTCCATAGGAATAAATGTGAAATTGCATTTTAAAACTAATTACAGTAAAAGTATGATTTCATTTTTACTTTCATTTCAGAATTTTGGCTTCACAAAGAATGTTTCAATTTGGGCAGCTTGAATTTGGCCAAAATAATATACTTAACTTATTGTGTATGTTCAAGCTGAGCATTTTAATTGCTTGGTGAATACTGAAAAATTGAGATTTTCTGAGTACTTGATTTCAAATAAGACTAATCCTGCCTCCTCCATATACCCATTCACCACTGTCCCACCTACATAAGATGGTATATAATAAGTCTGTTTCAAGTTATATTAAATAGCTTTACATTTTCTCTATTATAAAAGCAATAAAAGTTCTTTGTAAAAGTTTTTATAATTAAAAAAATGGGAGAAATAATGTGAAAACAACATAGAACACCTCCCAAATAGAGTATCTATTAACTGATTTGTAAAGGCTTACTTTTTTTAGAACAGTTTTAAATTCACAGAAAAATTAGGTATGTAGATTTCCTGCATACCGCCCTGCTTCCATATGCAGAGCCTCCCTTATTATCAGCATTCCCCACTAGAGTGGAAAATTTACTACAACTGATTAACCTACACTGACATATCATTGAAAAAGAAAATCTGTGTCCTAAAATGGCCACCGAGCCAGCGAGAGAGTTCCAGTCCTTCCCCCGGGGCTCTTCTGGGTTCTTCTCGCTGCTCTGCTTCCTGCAGGTACCAAAACTACCAAGTATGTGGAAGTAGAAGTGTATAAACTGCCCCCTTTGTTTGTGCTCGGGGCTCAGACTTTTGGAGATCACTCTCCTCTGAGCCTGCCAGCGTTAAATAAACCTCTTATCCTCCAAGATCTCCCGGTGCCACTTTGTTCTTCTGTCGGGCGATCCAGTCCAGGTTCCATAACATCGTAATCACCTAAAGTTCATAATTTATATTATGGTTCACTGGTGTTGTATATTTTATGTGATTGGACAAATGTATAATGACATGGTATCTCCATCATTATAATATCATACAGAGTCTTGTCTTTTTTTTAAAATTATATTATGTTATGTTAATCACTATACATTACATCATTAGTTTTTGATGTAGCGTTCCATGATTCATGGTTTGCATATAACACCTAGTGCTCCATTCAATAGGTGCCCTCTTTAATACTCATCACCAGGTTAACCCATTCCCCCACCCCTTCCCCTCTAGAACCATCAGTTTGTTTCTCAGAGTCCATAGTCTCTCATGGTTCATCTTTCCCTCCAATTTCCCCCCCTTCATTTTTCCCGTGCCCTATAAATCCTCTGTGCTCCATCAGTTCATCCTTCCCTTCCCCAACTCAGGCAACCACTGATCTTTTTACTGTCCCCATAATTTTGCTTTTTCTAGAACATTGTGTCATTGGAATCAAATAGTAGCCTTTTCAGATTGGTGTCTTTTACTTGGTAATATCCACTTAAGTTTTGTTCATGTTTTCTCATGGCTTGCTAGCTCATTTCTTTTTAGTGCTGAATAATACTCCACTGTCTTGATGTACCAGTTTATTTTTACATCCACCTACTAAAGGACATCTTGGTTGCTTCCAAGACTTGGCAATTATGAATAAAGCTGTTATAAACATCCATGTGCAGATTTTTGTGTGAACATAAGTTTTCAACTCCTTTGTGTAAATACCAAGCAGTTAGGTTGCTGGATAGTACGGTAAGAATATGTTTAGTTTTGTAAGAAACCACCAAATTGTCTTCCAAAGCGGCTGCTCCATTTTGCATCCCTACCATGAATGAATGAGAGTTCCTGTTACTCCACACCCTAGCCAGCAATTTTTGTTGTCAGTGTTCCATATTTAGGCCATTTAAATAGGTATACAGTGGTATCTCCTTATTGTTTTAATTTGCATTTTCTTAATAACATATGATGTGGAGCATCTTTTCATATACTTACATGCCATCTCTATATATTCTTTGGTGAGGTGAGAATCTCTGCTAATATTTTGGCATGAAATTTTCAGATATGTTTATACATATCCACTAAATAAGTTGATTTAGATCACAATTACTTGACTTTCTCTTTTTTCTGCTTTAAAAATAATAATTGAACATTTTTATATATAAAAATAAAATGATATATATCACTAACACAGGATAAGGCAGGGATGGTAAGCATGCCATGTATTTGTCCTCCCTATATGAACAGCAGTCTTCCTTTACTGCACATTCTTTTCCACTGAACTCAGAGAAGACCTCAGAATCTCTCTCAACACAGGTTCTATGAAGTCAGTGCTATTCAGTTAGATGTGGAATAATAGACTATATTTTTTCATCTCTAACCTTGAACCTGAGATTAAGGGATCAAGTGGCTCCAACTATCAGAACAAATTAATAATGAAGATAAATCATGAAAGATTATTACTACCAGGCATCTGGCACCATAGAGTCTGATATAGGTACTTGTGGTATTCTTACCCTGTCCCCTCAAGCAAAATATGACATATCACTAATGAGGGGTTTTAATCCCCCTAAGTCTAATTAGGTTTGGTCTAGAGTATATGCTTTCTGTTGAGGTGGGACCTTCCAAATGTCAAGAACATTCCTATAAATTGGAGAACAACAAAGATGAGAAGCAGTAAGAGCAATTATGAGAATATTCACTGATCTCTCTCTCCCTGTCCCTCTCTTTCTCTCTTTCTCTCCCTGTTCCCAGAATCAGATGTTGCTGACTTTGATGGCCGAAGCTCCCTTCTGTATAGGTTCAATCAGAAGCTGATGAGCACTCTCAAAGATGTGATCTCTCTGAAGTTCAAGAGCATGCAAGGAGATGGGGTTCTGTTCCATGGAGAAGGTCAACGTGGAGACCACATCACCCTGGAGCTCCAGAAGGGGAGGCTTGCCCTGCACCTCAACTTGGGTAGGGTCTGGTTTTGTTCCTTTCCATGTTGAGCTATCAGGAATTCTATTTTGTGGTGGGTCACAGTTTCATATCGCTCTTGTGTGTCAGGTGGAAGTCACTGAAATACAAACTAAGTGACATTTTCTCCTTTTACATATTGAAGAAGAACAAATAAACATTTGTGAAATAGTTAAGCCATAGATGGCATTCTTTCTAACTAGATAATATTGGTAAGTAGGGATCACTACAAGCTCATATATATTTATCTAGCTACCTATTTATCTGTTTATCTCTTTTAATACGATTTAACGTGAGCAAGTTTAACACACATGCACACATATTTTAATGAATAGAATCACAATCTATTCTGATTGGTACATTTATGAAAGTTCAGTCCCAAGAGAAAAATAGAGAAGAGGCATTTTAATTCATTTAGTTTATTTTTTTGTTTTTATTTGTTTATTATTGTTATTATTATTATTATTATTATTATTATTTTGGTTAAGGAGAGAGAGGGTTATATGTATAGTGGGAAAGTCTAAGTCTAAGTCTAAGTTTTGGGGCATTCCCATGTCTTTTTAAGGGAAACACTGTTTCCTTTAAGTGCCCTGGCTATGCCAGGTTGAGCCCTAGACTTGCCAAATGCCAGCTAAATTAGTACAATGTCCTGCCTCCTGTGTATTTAGGACACCCAGCATGGCCTGCCTCACCACAGGTAGGCCATCATTATAATTTCATTGTAATCAACTTCTTATCCCAGGAAAAGAGAGAGAAGGGCTCAGCCTCCTTTGAATCCTCAAAGGTACTTTTGAAGGAAGAGTGAACCAAGTGCTGAGTGCAGGGGGCAGAATTCCCAAAGGTGCAAAGGCAAACCAAAAAGCTCTTCCACAGCAAAAGAAACAAGAGAGAAAGAAAGAGAAAGAGCACCCAAGTTGAAGAAAAAGGAAGTTCCATTCCTTATGAGAATGATTCCCTGCCTCTCATTGATATTTGTTAGTATTAGGAGTGAATATTGTACTTGTGGAAGAGAATTGTCGCTAAGTATTTGCTATCAAAGTAAAGAAAGACAATCATAGCAGAACTGAGTTTGTAAGTTTAAGTTGCATGGAAAACTGAAAAAAATCTCAGATAAACACATTTTCACAATTAGAAGGAGAGACATAAGAATGAAGATTAGTGTGGACTCACCTCAAAAGCCAAACAACATAAGTCTTTATTTTGAGGCATTTCTGAGTATCTTCTTAACCACCATGGTGAATATTGGCAGAGAGAACATCTGGAATCCCAAGTTTAATTCATAAAATTGACGTCTAATGCATTAGATTAAATATACATCAAAGGCATCTTTAGAAGCAGAATTTTATCCAGAAGAGAGTAGTAAGATGATTTGCTAATGACCTGATTAATTGTATTAACATACCTAAAGAAGCAACTTATCAATGAATTATCTGAAGTGTGAGCATACAAATATTCAGGAAAAATGCATCAGTTCATTAGCTGGCCTTCAATTTTCAGGAAGGGGATATGGATGAATGGAGTGCAGTCCTGGAACTGCATATGGCTCAGAGAGCATTGTGCATTGTGAGGGAAGTTACTGTTACTTGTCAATAGCAGAACAGGTGTCTTCTACTAGTTATACTGAATCTGCCAATTACTGTCATTTATATTCCAAATTAGATATGCCATTCCCCTTCCAAAGCTCTGTTCCAACATACACAATCCAATGTTGTAAACCAGTTTCACTCACAGTATTTCATGAAGGAAAGGAGGAGGTGTGTTCATGCATCAGATCTATTTTAATTGCAGACTTGTGCTAGATATTTGTTATGGGGAAAGTCACATGACCCAGAAGTCTCTGTTTACTTATGTATAATCTGGGGCTAAGGAATAACTATCTTGCAGAGCATGGACATGAAAACCAAAAATAATATAAATGAATATTCTACGTCAGAAGTAAATATAATGAAATAGCAAAAAGCGAGGCTCTTAATATTCCTCATTTATTCAACAAAAAAAGATCTGAATGTCCCATATGCCAGTCTTCCTGAAAAGAAATGGTATATGAGAGAAATAAATCAATCAGAGAAAGACATGTATCATATGATCTCACTGATATCAAGAATTCTTCATCTCAGGAAACAAACTGAGGGTTGCTGGAGTGGTGGAGGGTGGGAGGGATGGGGTGGCTGGGTGATAGACACTGGGGAGGGTATGTGCTATGGTGAGTGCTGTGAATTGTGTTAAGACTGTTGAATTACAGACCCGTACCTCTGAAACAAATAATATATTATATGTTAAAAAAAAAAAAAGAAGAAGATAGTAGGAAGGGAAAAAATGAAGGGGGGAGTGGGTGGGGGAGATGAACCATGAAAGACTATGGACTCTGAGAAACAAACCGAGGGTTCTAGAGGTGACAGGGGTGGGGGGATGGGTTAGCCTGTTGATGGGTATTAAGGAGGGAACATACTGAATGGAGCACTGGATGTTATACGCAAACAATGAATCATGGAACGCTACATCAAAAACTAATGATGTAATGTATGGTGATTAACAGAATATAATAAAATAAAAAAAGTTAAAAAAAAGAAATGGTATATAAAATGAATAAGACTTGCTCCTTACTGTGATACATGGAAAAGAAAAGTTTTTGTTTTTTTTTTCCCCCAGATTCCACGTTCACTGTATTTCTAATCATGGTGGTGACAAAGTAAAACCTCATTTAGTGAATGATTCAGTAGTAAGAATATGTTCTTTCAGTATTCTACAGTTTGAGAATTTCTTCATCTGCTTGGAAAATGAAATGTTGTGGATTTGAGTGTTCCCTGTACTTACCTGTTTGAAGCAGCCACCCAGGTTTCTTGAAGATTAGTACCAATTTTCGTGTTTTTTCTCTAGGGAGATGCTGCCACATATCAGTTCTTTAGCCCTTCATACCTCAGAAAGAGCTAACAGATCTCTCTGAAAGCACTAAGAGGAAAGGAGGATGATAATTGTTGTGATTTTCTCATAATAGAAAATCTGTAATGTAGGTTGCACAAGGGAAAGATAAGATTTGTTCATTGCTGTAGTTCCAGAATTTAGTAAAGCACCCACCTAATATAGGTACTCAAGGTAAAATGAGTACAATGTAAAAATGGGTTTCCATCTCAAATATCAGGGCCTGACACAATACACATTATTACTGTTGGGCTTGCTCACCCCCAAGACTGTGCTCCTGACTTCCCCATGAGACTCTCTCTCTCTCCTATGATGGAGCCCTGATATTTACAGAATACCCACAATATGTTAGTATCCTGTCCAATCCTCAAAGCAGCCCTAATAGGTAAGTAAATATTAGCCCCAGATTACCTATAAGGAATATTAGTCTCATAAAGGATAAATCACTCTTTCAATTTACACAGCTAGCTATTAGGTATGGCCACTATTAAAATGTAGCTATATCTAATTATTTTTTACTATTTTCTTCAGGTTATAAAATATGTCAGTTTTAGAAAACCTGAAGAAAAAAAAACAAAGGTAATTATATTGAAGGAAAAGAAAAGAAGTCAACTGAAATCCTATAATTCAGTCATTTCTCCTATTAACATTTTGGCATGTTTTTCAAATGTTTTTTTCTTAATTATTTATATGAAATTTTACATATTATACAAAATTCATGTTCTTTCCATGTTGCCACACAGCTTCCAAAATGGAAAGAGTTCATATTATCCACGATCATGTTTATCTTTTTTTAAATTTTATTTAAAATCAATTAATTAACTTATACTGTATTATTAGTTTCAGAGGTAGAGTTTAGTGATTCATCAGTTGTGTATAACACCCAGTGCCCATTACATCATGTGCCCTCCTTAATGTCCATCCCCCAGTTACCCCATCCCCCCACCCACCTCCCCTCCAGCAACCCTCTGTTTCCTAGAGTTAAGAGTCTCTTATGGTTTGTCTCCCTCTCTGATTGCATCTTATTTTATTTTACCCTCCCTTCCCCTATGTTCATCTGTTTTGTTTCTTAAGTTCCATGTATGAGTGAAATCATGTAATTGTCTTTCTCTGATTGGCTTATGTTTATCTTTTATTTTTTAAATTTTTTTAAAGAAATGAATCAATAATGGAAGGAAAGAAGGAAGGAAGAAAGGCATGTGAAGAGGAGGGGAGGGAGGCAGGGGGAGTGAGAGGCAGAGAGGGAGGGAGGGAAGGAGGGAGAGACAGGAAGAGTGAGAGAAAGAGAAAGAGGGAGGGAAGGAATGGAGGGGAGAGAAGGAGAGAAGGAAAGAAGCAGAGAGAGAGAGGGAGGGAGGGAAGGAAAAAGGGGAAGGAGAGAGGGGGCGAGAGGGAGGGAGAAAGGAGAGGAAGAGGGAGAGAGAAGGAAGAAGGGAGGAAGAATCTGAGAATACAAGTTAGTGGGCTAAAGGATGGTGCTAGGCCAATGAAGAGGTAATTTTTCCCTTCCCAGATCCCATGGACACTCCAGCGGTGCGTCCTTTAGTGACAATTATCCAGTGTGTGTCCCTTATATAATCTGACGTTACAATTCAGCAATTCTAGGAGTGGAGGGGTTCAGCACCATGGCCAGTTGCCGAGGCTGGCCTTTGGATCCATATTGGCTGTGGTTCTTCGTAAGTGATGCTCTTTTCTGACTGATTCATTGCCAATTACCCCTTCTGTGGCTGACTTGGGGAGGTCAATTCTATGGTGAAACCGACCTAGGTCATTCCCATTTAATTAATTTCTTAGGGAAGAAAAACGATTTTTTTTTCTAGAAGTACTAATGGGAAAGAGATTTCTTTTCTTAGTCCGTTCCTCTTCTCACTTTGTAACACACCTCATTCACACCACCTGTGATAGTCTGACCTCTGCAGAATTCCAACGGCACTAACCCATACATGCAGGTGGGAGAATCAAAGAGCAGATATTACATGACTGGGAAACTGTTGTAAGAACTAAGCAAGACATCAATAGTACATGTAGGTCATTCATCCTTACAAGAGTTCAGTGCCTTTGAACTGAGGCAGAATGTGCAA